CATACCCTGGCTCCTAGAAAGCACTCAGGAATGTTAGGTAGAGACCTATTTACCTTTCTGTAGTTGGCAAATTAAAGGATGATATAAAATGATTTGAAAATAAAGAACTTTAGTACAAACGTCAATAAAAATTTTTATTCTCAAATCTGGGTACTAAACTAGGCCCTTTCCACCCCCTCTAAAAGTCAGAGTTTTATTCATATTCATTTATTATTTCATTATTATAGGCAAAGACCCAGAGAAGGATTCCAGGAACAAAGCAGCAGGTAAGATTTTTCTGGGAAAAGGCAGAGTTTATGAGGTAGCCACGATTTGAGGGTCAGTTAGCAGCAGTGGGTGTCAGTCTTAAAGATTTACCCGTTTGCTCTCGGTTACTTTTAATTCAAGAAAGGAAGATGAGTACCAAACCATTCATTGAGACCTTTGGGAGGGTGGGAAGGAGGAAGGATGTAAACAAACGCAAACGCTCTCTTTCGTTTCCCCAGTGTCTCGAGACCCCAAGACTTCCAAGCGCCTTCGTGAGGGCCAGCAGGTCTGTTCTCCAGAAGTGCCCCGGGTCTGGACTCCATTTCCCAGCGTGCCTTAGTGCCCTAATATATTCAGTGCTCAGAGTGCCTGTATGTGTGTGAGTGTGAGAATGTGTGCGTGCGTGTGTGTGTGCGCGCGTGTGTCTCCGAGTCCCTGGGAGAGTGGAGGCTCATTCACTGATTAGAGCCAGCGCTGAGAGGCAGCACTGCTCCTTCTCTCAAACCAACCGAGTGTCTTGATCTGTACATGCAATCCCAGGCAGCTCGCGAACACAAACCCGGGGCCGGCCGCCTACTGCTGCTGCTGCCGCTGCCGCCGCCGCCGCCGCCGCTGCCTCCGCCGGCTCTGCGCACCCGGGACTTTTCATGCACCGCACTCTCCGCCTTCTTCCCTCAGTGTCCTGAAAAGTGCGACGGTTCTCCCAAGGAATTTCCACGGCAAGTATGGAGATCAGAAAGGGGTGTGGATGTGTGTGCGTGCACAAGAGGGGAGGGTGCGAGGGCGGCCGGGCTGTTCAGGAACCTGGCTAACTTTCCCGGTCCGTTTCCTAGGGACTGGGGCGGTTCCCCCCGACAGGGGCAGGGGCTGGGACCAGGACTGGCGCGTCTTAGATCATCGCGACGGAGCTCCCGGCATCGGTGCACTGTGCGCTCCGGGCGCTGCCTCAGTCAAACTTTCCGTCTCAAGTTTTCCTTAATGTGTTTATTTGGGGGGTGCAAGGGGGAGGGACCAGACGCGGGAACTGGACAAACAGGGAGGGTGAGGGGACAGCCAGGGAAGGGAGCAGGACTTCTTTTCTCCATCTTTTAATAAGCCCCATTTCCACTTTGTTTGGGTCGATCGCGACAATGCCTTCTCGCCGGGCTCCCCAGTGTGTCCCGCAGTGATTTCCGGCGGGGCCGGGGTTGGGTGGTACTCAGTGGGGAGCCTGAGGCAGCGGGCGGGACAGGGAAGGGGCAGTCAGAATGAGAAACGACCGCGACCGCCCCCACACAACACACGGCCGGCCTAGTGGGGTACCCGAGGAAATCTGCAGGCGCTCGCTGAGCCGGCATCCCCGCCGCCCCGCACTCTCGGGCCGGCGGCACTGTCTCGGATCCGCACCCTTTTTGGTCAACCCGGGACTGGGTCCGGGTCCGGGTCCAAATCTGGGACTGATACCCGGCCATGTCTGAACAGCGGGCGTCGGCCCTCGCCCGGGAACGGTGTTAGCCTCAGGCTCCCTGAGCTCTCGCAGATGGTGGTAAAATTTCTGTTAGAGCGGTGTTTCCAGGTACCCTACGGGCATTTGGTGTGCGGGAATTCTCTTCAAGCGAAGAAGTCTGTGAACTTAAGGAAAAAAAAAAAAAATCTTTCCTGCGTTCCTCACAACTCCCCACTGCTCTGGCCTCGTTTCCCATTCAGTGTTTCCAGGTACCCTACGGGCATTTGGTGTGCGGGAATTCTCTTCAAGCGAAGAAGTCTGTGAACTTAAGGAAAAAAAAAATCTTTCCTGCGTTCCTCACAACTCCCCACTGCTCTGGCCTCGTTTCCCATTGTTCTTTGCTTTTTAAGTTGCCTGTTAATTTTTTGAAAGTTTATTTATGCAAAGGAAAAATATGGTTGGATTTGATCTATTATTTTAATTCCTGGCTTTTGGAAATGGTTCAGAGACCACAAAAATGTCACCTGTTGTAATAAGCAGAGGAGTGTTGTGTGTGCATTTTAATTGCCAGCAGAGTCGTAGTTTGGTGGGCGCCCTGAGCTCGGCTCGGGGAAAGAGCCCTTTGCAGCTTTCTTTGTGGCGGTCATTTGCAAGTGGGTTTGGCTAACAGCAGCAGCAGCAATCCCGCTTCCTCCTACGCCAATCCCGGGCGCGAGTCAGGAAGCCCAGACCCTGGACAGGGATGGGCAGAGGCTGGGGTGGGAGATTGCCCGCTCTCTGCGACTTTCTCTCTGGCTTTCGGTTTTTCTGCGCGAAAGTGGCTAGTTCGCGCCGGAGAGCGCTGAGCGCCGCGCACCAGCCCAGTCTCAGACATTTTCACGTTCCAAACGCCGGCTTCTCCGTTTCATTTGTCTTGGTGCTGGCATGTTTAACCACGCAATTAGTAATCTCACTAATTATTCAGTTAGCTGGCGTTTTGTAATCACTTTAAACCGAGGTCGGGTATGTGATTTAAGAAACAAACTCCCACACATACAGAACTGAACCAAAACCCGTCACGTCAAGGATTTGAAAATTTTAAAACTCAATATTTGTTGGTCCTTCCGTCCAACCTCACTGCCTGCCAGACAATTTATTTAGCTTCGTGGATTGATCCCTCCTCCTTGTTTAGTTAATTCAACAAAGACTTTTTGCAATCTGTTTGGAGTTTGTCTGATGCCGTGGAAAAGTAGCTGATGATTTATTTGGTTGCTTTTCGATTTCTGTCTTCAGCCCTTCTTTCTCCTCCTTTCAGCGGGGATGTCAGCTGTTATTACTTCCTATTGATCCCTTTGCAAAGTGAGAAGTGAACTAAAATTAATGTCAATTCCACTGCTCGGATCAATAGCTGGAGTTATTTTAATCTGGATTTGCACGAAGTGCTAAATTAAAAAAAATCAGCATAGAGGCAGAAAAGTAACAGTTACTTACTTTCCCTTTGCCCGGTTCTGTACAGTCGCCCAAATGTTCCATCAAGCTGATTATCTTACAATCCATATTTTTTTAATTAAGAGGGTCAGTTAGTTTTCTTATTTTGGGTTCTGTGTTTAAACCCATGACATTTTGACATTGGGAGTGTATTAACTATAGATTTTCATAATGACTGTGGTCTGCTGAAGCCTCATCTATACAAGTTGTTAATGTGCGTGAGGAAGGAGTAAGAAAGAAAAGGGAAAGAAAAAAGCAACCCCCACCCCCCACGACCAACGCCCATACAGTAAAGTAAAAGATGTGGCCTGGAAAAATGTTGATTTATTTTCAGTATAATGAAGTTTTCAAATGAATAACCAGGTTTGAGTGATTCACCTTGTTCTATTGGAGTGTCCGGTGCTATCGCCAGATTACTAATTTATGAAACTCATTTAACACAATGAGGTGATCTAGGAAGTAAAAATAGCAAGTGAATCCTGGGGGGCATATTTTAGAGAGGAAACATTCCTCCTCTCACACCCAGTATATTATGTTTGTCCTTTTCTCCAGGTTGCCTCTTATAATACTGCTTGTTGATAGACAAGTACTGTAGTTATTTGTCTCTGTTGTGACGAGCTTCTTAGAACCCTTGGAACAGCCCTGGACCCACTTTCAGAGCATCCATGTTGTGTGACCATTAATCTGACTTGAAATCAGCCAAGAACAGGATTCCCAGACTTGTCAGGCTAACTGGCTGTCCTTGGCAGATCATTCCCTGCACTGCTGTAACTTGACAGGAAAGTTATTTAAAATTTGGAAGAGAGAAAAATCCGTTAATGTGAGATACATAATCTGGTAATTTAGCAATGATGTCTATAAGGAAAGATGCCAAATGAGGAAGCAGGCTGATGGTGTCCACTCATCTTCCCAATTAATAACAGTCATTGACACGTCTGCTACAGGATGAGAGAAGGAAATACTCTCTTTGCACTGCATTAAGCCAGGAGGATTCATGTACAGTTTAGCTGAGGTTTCTCTATTTGAGGGAATACCAAACGTGCTCCATTATGTAGGTGGGCTTTTTTAAAGGGAGGGGATAAATTTTATTTCTGATATGACTCTGAATTTAAAGGTTGTAATTTGTAGCAGATGGTGATTTTTGGTTACGTTTTGAGTTTCATTAAGTTTTATTTAGTGTGTATTTTTGAAACTAATAAGTTTTAGTATTCATCTTGTGTTATCCCAGCTTTTGATGTGTAGCCCTTTTCCCACCCCCACTCAAAATAAATTTTGAAACGGAATCAGTGGCTATGAAAATGTACAACCTAATCTTACAAGGGAAACTGAAAGAAGTCTCTCTGAACTCCAATTTATTCTGGTGGCTTTATTGGACATCAGCTCTGGCTGGGCCAATAAGCAGAGCAAAATAAGTCAGAAATTTTGTTAACATTTTGCTCTAAATGTTAATGGCAAATCCAAGGCAGTTTACAAATCTACTTAAGAGTGAGTGCATTAGTAACTAAAGTTACCGATCTGTTCTTTGCTGCCCCTGGAAGACAGGAGCTTCTAGAGAGCATATGCCAAAGACACCCATTATGTTTTTAAATATTGTCAGAGACGCCAGGCATTTTATTGATGAAGATTTTGTTCCTTCTCAGAAAAGAGAAATAGAAAGTCTATGTGATTAGAGAGGGGGTGTGCATCAAAAATAATGGTGCCTGCTGTTCGTTCACATAGCACTTCCTTCTGGAAATCGTCTTAGGTGATACGTGAAGATATATGATTACGCATGTGCCAATGTGTATGACTTATCCACTTGTACAGTTTGTACCAACTAGTATATACAGGTGTTCCTGGCCTAGATGTGTTTGATTTAGAGATTTTTCAGTATCAGGATGCTGTTAGGGGAGATGAAGGGAAGATGCGTATTGTGGGGAATCGTATAGGTGGAACATGGTCTCTGAATATCAGGCCTGCCATGAGGGGCAGATGCCAGTGGAAGCCGTTTAAAATGTAGACCCCCACCTAATCTACTGGGTGACTTGGCCTTCCAAAGCTCATTTGCTCAGGGAATATTGTATTTGGAGGTTTTATGATTTTTTTTTCTTTGCTGGGCTCAGGCGCATTTCACCCGGAACGTGTAGGGACCAAAGTCAGCTACGCGTACATCACAGTAAGTTGTCTATTGATTTTCCTGAATGAAAATGGTCTGATGCTGCTGCCCACTGGCTCCTAAAGCCTGTGGTGTCTCCTGCCCGAGCATCTGTAAGCTAGAAGGATGGTGTTTCAATCACTTGGGGTTTCCCTTTTTTTCCTCCCCCTGACTTTCCTCCCCCCTCTTTTTTTTCTCTTTGCTATTTCCACAGATCTTAGAAGGGAATGATTCCTCAGTAATATTCCCTGCCCTGATCTAAGGTGCCGCTTGGCCTCCCTCCCAGGGAAGACTGCTTCTTGTGTGACGCCGGCCATAGAAAGAGACTCCGATGGACTTACACCGGGCAGCCTTCAAGATGGAGAACTCATCCTACCTTCCCAACCCTCTGGCATCCCCAGCACTGATGGTCCTGGCATCCACAGCTGAGGCCAGTCGTGATGCTTCCATCCCTTGCCAGCAGCCACGACCCTTTGGTGTACCTGTCTCAGTAGACAAGGACGTGCATATTCCATTCACCAACGGTTCCTACACCTTTGCCTCTATGTACCATCGGCAAGGTGGGGTGCCAGGCACTTTTGCCAATCGTGATTTCCCCCCTTCTTTACTACACCTCCACCCTCAGTTTGCTCCCCCAAACCTAGATTGCACCCCAATCAGTATGCTGAATCACAGTGGCGTGGGGGCTTTCCGTCCCTTTGCTTCCACTGAGGACCGGGAGAGCTATCAGTCAGCTTTTACGCCAGCCAAGCGACTTAAGAACTGCCATGACACAGAGTCTCCCCACTTGCGCTTCTCAGATGCGGATGGCAAGGAATATGACTTTGGGACACAGCTGCCATCTAGCTCCCCCGGTTCACTTAAGGTTGATGACACTGGGAAGAAGATTTTTGCCGTCTCTGGCCTCATTTCTGATCGGGAAACCTCATCTAGCCCAGAGGATCGGAATGACAGATGTAAGTACTTTGTTTCAAGCCCTCCCTTACCCCCAGTAAGACCCTGCCTTGCAGTAGAGTTCAACAGGTTGGTGGTATTGTGCATGCTCCTGGTAATGGGAAGGGCCAACTACCTCCCTCTCAGTAGCTGTGGAGTTCTAATGTTTACTTGTCTCCTTGATGTGAGCATTGATAGTTCTTCTGACGGTAGCCAGAGGCAAGTTGGCCTCAGCACTGCCTTTCTCTCCAGGACATGGTTGGGGACTATGGATTCAAGAGGGGTGCCATTGGGTGTACTGGAGTAAATGTCATTTCATTAGGAAGCATAGGTTCCTAGGGAACTTGAGGGGCCTAAGAAACTTGTCCATCCCTCCTCTCTTTGCTATCCTCATTATGTTTCTCTGATCTCAGTATTATTTTTTAGCTTTGCCATTGTGTCACATCCAGCAGACTCCACGTGATTTTATTTTCACAACTCTCAGCCCTTGTCCACATCAGGCTATTTTTCAGAGAAGGACAAAGGTGTCGTCAATCACCATAAAGCATTTCAAACAGCTGTGTTTTCCTTGCGATTGCAAGGCTAGAAAGCCGACTTCTCTTGGGATTTAACAGGTTTGCTGGATGCTTATCCTGGGGCTCACTTTTAGACCTAGACACGATTGACCTATGTGACTGCTCCATATTTGATGTTCACAACTATTATTAATTTCTGCTTATGAAATGGCTTTTCTCGCATTCTCCAAGTGCCTTGTTGGGCTCTGGCTACACTCACTTGTAGTCGAAACTAAGCCTTTATTTGGAACTTCTAGACTAGGAGTGCTGAACCCTGCAATCTTCTGCTCTAATATAATTAGAAAATAATTGTGTTTTGAAGCTTTTGGGTGTGGGTAGATGGAGCAGTTTTCTTCAAGCTTGGTGAGAATTTATGAACTGAGGGTGTTTTTCCACCCAACCCTTTGTTCTAAGATTTGCTTCATTTTATTTTCTTAAGAAAACTACATCTGAGGTTTGCTTTCCCCTCTTCTCTATTTTTTGTGCTTCCGTCCTCTCTATAACGAGCAACACGAATACCATTTTTTTCTCTTCTCTTTATGATGCCGAGGAGAGTAATAGAGACATTGCAGTTCTCTCCCCTGTCGGCACTGCTTCCTCAGGCTGTCTCCTTGAATTAGGCACTGTGTTAACTTTCCTGCGCTAAAAGGCATCTGCCTAAACCCAGCGTACCTTTTCAATAAAAGTCATCATAAAATCAACCTGCCTTGTAAATCCATCGCTCTTTGGTTTTGAAATATGTTGCAAGTGTGTCTTTTATGTCAGCGTCTGTAAGCCGGAGACCTCCCCACTTAAGGGAGAAAGCTGCTATCTGACAGCATGTCTGCTAATGTCACCCTCTCACGTTGGCTTTGGCTCCTCTTATACCTTTTGACTTTCTGTTGACCTGTGCGTATTAGGATCTTTCTTCTTGTATATACCTGCTGAACAGGTATTGGCATTGTGTTGATCTGTTTTATTTGATTTCATTTTTCATTTGTTGAGTGATATGCACTGATCAAGGCTAGCTGTAATCTGACCTCTGGCTAAAACTGCTCTGGGTTAGGGTGTGACAGATTCCACCCCTTTTTTCTCAAGTTGAAAATGAAATCCTATCAAAACTAATATGCTACCAAGTAACATCTGGAGATCAAGATTCCTTTCTTCTCACCTAAAAGATCCATCCAGCTCGTCTCCATTTTTCTGTCTTTTTAGCCCAAACCTGTATCAGACTCCTAGAGCAGGAGGAAGCTTGCTAGTCAAGTCAGAACTCATAGATGTCGAGATCCATTCCCCTCGAGTGTCAAAGCCGTAACTCTTCCGTGTGCCTGGTTTGCATTGTGTGCTGGTGCCATCCCCCATGGAGATGGAGCCCTCCCACAGGAATACGCCTGGGTGGAGAAAAATTAAATGAGTCTGTCTCCCAAAGTGAAATGGAATTCTGACCTTGAAATTAATGAGATTCTGATCAGAAGGGTGGGGAAACTTCTTTATTTCAAATTAGAGTCCTTTCCTCTTTTATTTGTTTAAAATGTTCTTCCCTTAGAGAGTACTCTGTGTTCTCCTTTCTCTGGTACACAAACATTAAACCTATAGGAGTGTCTGTGAGTGCAGGATGCTTGTACACCCACACTGTTATCTAGAGTTTTGTGACTAATCTTTAACAAGAGACAAAGGTGCAAAGTGAAGAGGGGACTATACCCTGTGGGAACCCCGGATTTGTGAGCCTTTCTCCTTCCCTCCCCTTTCCCGAGGGGGTGTGGCAGCCTTCACAGGGTTGTCCTGGGCAGCATTTGTGCTTTTGATTTCAAGTTTTTGGAAGGCAGGAGAAACATTTTTCTGTAAGGAAGGGCTGAAGAGGCACTATGACAAAGTCTGCTGCAGCTTTCTTGGCTCCTGTCATACGCCGACGTGTGTCGGAATATTTATGGCCTGTTTTATGTAAATACATATTTAAGGGCCGTTAGAAGGCCTGATTATTCCCACTAGATGCCTTTCAGGTCCTCCCTACAGAACCGTTTTGAAATAAGTAATATTTCTCAAATAATCGAGTGACAGTATACAAGACTGCTTCCAAAGGGAGAGAGAGCTTCAGGGGCAGATGGGGCAGTGACAGGGGATGGGGAGGCGAGAAGAGAGAGGATAGAACATGTTCCAAAGAGCAAAGTAATAGGATACGGTGCTTTTGCCCAGATTGCCAGAATTAACCACGTACATTTTAGGCTTTTTATTCTTAAAATTTAAAGTTAATTTCTGATCTGGCTGACTCATTTTTCGGTTCTCTTCATATAAATAAAATATTTTTTTCATAAAATGTAAAAAAAAATGTTTTAATTAAATGAAGTAGTAAAACTCCTAAATGAGCATTTAGCTTTAGAGTTTTGTTGGCGGGTAGGGGGTGGGGGGTGTGTATGGGCGCGTGTGTGTCCCTTACTTAGAGGAGAAGTTTTATGACTGAGTTTTAGGTCATTGAAAAATCAGTTTAATAATGGAAACACTGACAATTTTTACTGTTGCAACCCACCCACCCCACACACACACACTGAGTCCATATGCAGATACGTCCACATGTGAGTGCATTTGAGAGAATGGCCTGCAGACATGGTGTAATGCACACGTGTTCTTCCTTAAATCTGAGTACTGATAGGCAGGATTTCTTTTGTGATTAAATTTGCATTTTTTTTTTGTACAAAGAAATAGAGCAATTTGGATAAAGTACTGTCTCTGCTAGTAGATGATTCTGGTTTGCTTGCATGTGCACCCACCTGGCCTCACAGGTGATTCCTAAGGTAGGTGTTGGGCTCTATGGAAAAAAAGAAGCCTTTACTCTACAAGACTGACTTATTTGCCCTGGAAAATGGGAGAAGTGTTTTGTGAGAAACCGTTCATGGAGGATAATTCCCCTAGGAAGGGGACTGAGGTAACTCCTGTTTATTGTCACTCCCTGAACCAGTCCCTAAGGCTCCTTGTCCAGGGAAATGATGCTAAAATTTATGGACCAATTACGAATAGTCCACGTGTGTCTTACATACGAAGTGTCTACAGATATGTTTCCCAGGGCCTTTAAAATAAACATTTCCTCATTAAGGAAACTTTACAACAAAAGAGAAGATAAGTATTGTCTGCTGCCTTGTGCTAGAATCTATACATTTATTATCCCCTTAGCTCTCTGGCTGCTATCATGTGGATTTCCCGATGGTTCTCTGTAGGCCGCCCCTGTGCCCAGTTTCCTGCCTGTGTGACACAGTCTTTGGCCAGCCTTCCAGTCTATCCACTCAGCCCAAATTGGAGTTGGCTAGTATGCATGCTTACCCCAGGGCTGAGAGGGCCCGGAACTGCCTACGTGGAGCCATGACTGGCCCTGCCTTCTGGCTCATCCAGGGGTAAGCACTGGGTACTGACCATAAGTGGCTTTGCTTGGCCCTCTGTCCTCGACCCTGCCCTGTGGTCAGGCAGATTCACAAGTAGGCAGGAAACCTAATGGCTCACCGCAGTTCCTGGATGTTCTGCTTTGCTCTCATCTTTCATGTATTCGATGAGTCGTTCTCATTCTCAAAAGCCCTGAGTAGGAGATGGTATTTTGTACTCTGAGATGTGTCTTTATAAAGGCATGTATCATTGAAGACACTGTGTCCTGAGAATTACATCAGTTGAGTCCACCTAGGCCAAGGGCAGCCTGTAATGAGGAGGGCTGGTTGATATCATGAGGGTGGTGTGGAGGGGTGGGGGTTACCTTCCCAGGGCTGTGGGACTGGGGTGGGCAGGGACTCTACTCTGGGCTTTTAGGAGAATTGCTCCTACTGGGGAGAATTTTTGGAGCAGTTACTAGGTCACCAGACTCCACTTCTGGATTGTAGCTGGAGCAGATGACCAGTGTGAAAAGGTCAGCAAATCACCAGAGGAGGTGGGTCAGATGTTCCCTCTGTCCTGACTGCCCACACCTAGCCCGATTCTGGCTCAGCTGCTCTGGGCTCTCCCCAGCCTCTTTTCTCCTCCCGCTCTCTCCGGGGGGCAAGAACTCCTGTGATGTGTGTGGTTGTTTCTGGTTATTCACTGCCGACACAGTCGTGGCGACTCCTTTTCATGCTGCTGGGTTTAATTGTCTTGTTGGGATAAAGAAATGTTTGCACAGCTAAAGTGGGGCCGGGCTGGACGGGAGCAGTCCCTGATGGCTGCAGAGCCATCTGGCCTGGCTCGGCTCGGCTCGGCGCGCCGCTCGCCCGGCGGCTGGGCTCGCTCCCGCTCTTCCCCTGCCCTCGCTCCACGCCGCGCCGCTCTGCTCGGCGGCTGCTCCTCGCACGGCCGGAATGCCTAATCACCATGGTGAGAAAACGGACCCCGCAGCCGTCCTCCCTCCTCGCCTCGCGCCCTCCCTCCCATCAATTGTCATGCAGAAGTGATCCGGGCTGCAGTTTCCTCGCGGCCGCCCGCCAGCCCCTCGCCGCTCCCGGCAGAAGGGTGGCTGGTAATTGATCGTTTGGGGGAGGGGG